AATATAATTTGTACCAGGTAAGCAAAACATGTAAGAGACATGACTGATAGTGAGCATTTAATGCCCCATTCTGAGGGTTTCAATAAATTTATTACCAAAAAATAAACAAAAATAAATAAAAACCCAAACTGATTTAACATGAGATCAGTGAAGAAACATGTGAAAGAATTGAAAACATTTTAATGATTCTGCAAATAATCATCTGGATAAATAAAACATAGAAATGCAAACATGCTCGTTCATCTGTCCTCGCGTAATTCTTTTTTTAAATGTAAAAAACTTACATCATGACTTTCAAAAACTAAATGATTTAAGTCTAAACTCCAAAATGCAGATGTTGTGAACAAACGATATTTATCTTTTTTTTTTTATTTTAGTTTATTTGTAAATCACTTTCTCCCTTTGGATGCATTCATTAAGGTGAGACAATATTTTATTATACCTATTTTTTTTAAACAATATACAATTTCAAAACAAACCGTTTATGGGAAAGACAAAGACAGACAGAGCGGGATCAAAGTGTTGGATTAAACATCTCTCTTCACAGCCGTGCGGCGTGACCTCGGTCGTGACTTTTCCCCATCGCTGCATGCTTCACACCGGCTCAGCAGAACCTCTCAGGAATTACAGTAACATAAGAAGAAGACACGTTTGAGATATTTACACCAAATATAACAAGAATCACCGGTGAGACGGACTTCTGGGAGACGGATGGTCGCAAAAATGGCGACGAGGCGAGGAGGGTCAGAGAGCGCGTGGCTTGAAACTAAATAAGTTAGGATTCTGGCAAAAAAAAAAAAAAAACAGTTTTGTAAACTCTTCTCTCACTGCATGCTTCAACTCCAAAAGCAGAAAAAAAAAAACAACAAACAGCAAGAGGATTATTTTTTTTCAAATGAGCAGAAAAAGAAAATAAAATCCAGCAAGATAAACAACACAAACAAGTTGGAAATGGATATTTTGAGTGACGTCAATCACAGCTCAGACCGCCAACGGTGCTACGTGAACTCTGCTTCTCACTGAAATGCTCCAGACTGGCTCCAGGACCATCGAGGGTCAAATTTCGGGGGGTAAAACGTAAGCGGGTGGCTCTTAGAAGGGTGAAATAGACAAGAGCTTCAACATGGGAGACCCTCCCTGGCGGGTCTCTGCATTTGTGTGTGTGTGTGTGTGTGTGTGTGTGTGGGGG